GGTCACTCATACATGCTGCTGGGAATGTAAATTGATACTGCAACTCTGGACATTTTTGGCAGTTTCAAAAAAAAGAAAAAAGCATGCAACTCTCTTTAGAATCACTGATTATACCCCTTGGCATTTATCCCAGAGAACTGAAGACTTATTTGTACAAAAACCTGCAGAAGGATGCTCTTAGCAGCTTGATTTGTAATGACTGAAAACTGGAGCCAACCCACATGTCTTTCAGCAAGCACATAGTTAAATAAATTGTGGAGCATCCGTGCCATGCCACACTACTCAGCAGTAACAAGGAATGAACTATGGACATACACAACAAGCCAGATGAATCTTAAGAGATAATTACGAGTGAAAAAATTATCAGTCTCAAAAGACTACACGCTGTACACCTTTATTTGTAGAGGGTTCCTCAAATGACAGAACAGATTAGTGGTTGCCTGGGGTTAGAGAGGGCCTGAGGGCAGGATGGAAGAGGGTGTGCCTTTAACAGTGAAGCATATGTACCACAGCCTCCTTATCCATTCGTCTGCTGGTGGGCATCTAGGTTGCTTCCCTGTCCTGGCTATTATAAACAGTGCTGCGGTGAACATTGGAGTGCACGTGTCTCTTTCAGATCTGGTTTCCTCGGTGTAGCATCGAAACATATATATTATCAAGGGTGAAACAGACCACCAGCCCAGGCTGGATGCATGAGACAAGTGATCGGGGCTGGTGCACTGGGAAGACCCAGAGGGATGGGGTGGGGAGGGAGGTGGGAGGGGGGATCGGGATGGGGAACACATGTAAATCCATGGCTGATTCATGTCAATGTATGGCAAAAACCACTACAATATTGTAAAGTGATTAGCCTCTAACTAATTAACGTAAATGGGAAAAAAAAAAAAGTGAAGCATAGTGATGAAAATATTCCGTGCCTTAAGTATATCCATGCTAATGCCCTGGTCGTGATATTGGACCATAGTCTTACAAGATATAATCATTGGGGGAAATTAGGTAAAGGGTACACAGAATCTTTATTATTTCCTACAACTCCATGAAAATCTATGGTTATCTCAAAATAAAAATTTTCATTAAAGAAACCCATATTTTGAGCTTTTTAAAATAATTAAGTGTTCAGAAAGATTCCTTTGACTAGTAGATTATCCCTTGCCTTAGCATTTCTGTATTTTCATTTTAATTTATTCGCTTTTAAGAAAGGTAGTGTTACCAAACTCATCAAGTTGTATACCCTAAATATGTATAGCTTTTTACATGTCAGTCATACCTCATATAAGTGGTTTTTGAAAAAAGAAGTGAGAAAGAAGGAAAGGAGGTGTTAGCATGTCATGCAGTTTGATTTTAAAAGTAAAACATAGTGTCTTAAAAAACAACTGATTTGTCAAATATTGTCCTTTTTTAAAACATCTTTATTGAAATGTAATTCATATACTGTGCAATTCACCATATAAAGTGAACTATTCAGTGACTGTTAGTGTATTCATAGCATTGTGTAACCGTTGCCACAATGAATTTTAGAACATTTTCGTTATCCTAGAAAGAACTCTAGGCCTCTTAGCCTCTGTCATCTTTCAGTTTTCCATCTTCCCAGCCAACTAATCTACTTTCTGTCCCTATAAATATATTTGCTTTTAAAAAGAGAATCAGTATCATTAATAATGATATAAATAAAAGTTTGGTAAAACAGATTTTTAAAAAATTAATTGTAATCTTAATATTCTACTAAGTTAATTTTCCCCCATGGGCTCTTTTTACCTTATGTGTAGAATTAAACACTGGGTACATCTTTCCTTTCTATGTAAAAAAATATATGAATCCTATTATTCATGCAATTTGTTTTGAATTCTAGAAAGTTAATAAGTGGTATACCTGAAGGAATCTTTCCATATCTCTAGTACCCTATAATGAATATAATTGAGACTATAATAATTATTATTTAATTATTATTTACTTAGAATAATACATTTTTATGTATACTTATATCTGTTTTTATCAGATTCTTTTCTCATATAGGTGATTCCAGAATTCTGAGTAGAGTTCCCTGTGCTATATAGTAGGTCTTTGTTGACTATCTGTTTTATGTACAGTAATATGCATACATCAGCTCTTCCCTAGTAGCTCAGGTGGTAAAGAATCCACCTGCAATGCAGGAAACCTGGTTTTGATCCCTGGGTCAAGAAGATCCCCTGGAGAAGGGAATGACAACCCACTTCAACATTCTTGCCTGGAGAATTCCATGGACAGTGGAGTCTGGCAGGCTACACTCCATGGGATCACAAAGAGTTGGACATGACTGAGTGACTAACACACACACATGTCATTCCCAAACTCCTAATTTATCCTCCCTGCCCTCCACTTTTCCCCTTTGGTAACCATAAGTTCGTTTTCTGTGTCTGTGAGTCCATTTATGTTTTGCAAATAAATTCATTTGTATCATATTTTCATATTCCACGTGTAAGGCTCATATGATAACTGTCTTTGTCTGAATTAATTCACTTGGTATGATTATCTCTAGGTTCATCTGTGTTGCTGCAGGTGACGTTTTGTTGGCACGACAAAGAGCATTCACACAGTAGGCGTTTGCATTCAGGTCTGCTGCAGGCATAGCCTAGGGATTTTTAAACCACCCCAGCCATGAAATCCTCTGTGCTTCAGCTGCCCCATGCCTGCTGGGGTCTGCTCCGCCGCCTCTTTCCTTCCCCTTCTTTCTCTGAGGCAACCCACATCCTCCCGGGTGCTTCTTGGCATAGTCTGTAAAGAGCTGAGCTATCAAATGTCAATAACGTTATTTGATCACGGAAATATTGGCCTTGGCTTTCTTTATAATTGTTGTGGATTAGGAGTAATTTCTTAATTCAGGTAAATGTTCTTAGGTTTTTACCTACTGTGAGTCTGTAAAATAAGGTTTGCTAACTAGACAAACGAGGTACTGTGTGTGTGAGAGTGCTTAAACTACCTAAGATAATAAATTGTTTTCACTACTGTAGAAGCATTCATTGTAAAGATAGCAACAATTCAAAGAATTTGTTCCTCTATTTGAACCAGTTCCCTGAATGATGCTCTGTTGGGTTAGTTGTGATTTTAAAATGAAGCCAATGGAATATTATATTCTTATAGTAATATTATCTAATTTAGACCTTCAAGTATTTCTGAGTGTTCCTCTTAGTAATTAGTCCAAAAGAGCAAGATTTAATAATATTCCATAATTTAAAGTTACAGCTTTATTTTAACATTTATACATTTCAGCAGACAGACATTTAATTCCTTCTAAAAATAGATCAGGTAAGAACTGTTAAGAAACCAGTGTGTTATTACCCCTGGCTTGATATTTTGCATTTTCTTGCTCTCTTTCCTAGAAAGTAAAATGTCTAGGCATATAAATAGCTGTAAAATGGAAATAAGGGCAAAGTTTGACATACTCAGAAAATATACAGTTTCCCTCGGCTGTAGGGAGAGAAAAGTCCCTTTGAGTGTATTCTCAACTGAATAAACTCAGCTCTAAAATTGTCCACATATGAGCTGGGGATTGACTTTTGAATCAGGTTCATAGGAAATACAGAAAAAATACAATAGATATAAACACTGTCTGGATCCAGAATTTATAGAAAAGAAATGACAATCTTAAGGAATAAATAGAAGCCAAGTCAAGTTTGTGACTTTAACTCTAACTCCCTTTCTGTTCTCTACTAGCATAATGAATCGTTGTTTTGAAATTCCTGTGTTCTAACTTCAGAGGATCAATAAGTCTTTCTTCCAGGAAGGTGATTTAGTCGAATTTTATTCAGTGTTGTGAGTACATATGAAGGCAGTTGCTTAAAACTCAAGATGTATATCTCTTTTTGATGTGTTGACAACTTGCATAGTTCATTGCTCCAATAATGCTTCTCATCAAAGACATGTATCCAGTTGAATTTCACGCCTGTCACTTCATGCCACTGCATGTGTAATTTTTTCCCCATATTTTCTGCTGTGTAAGACCCAGAATATTTTTTTCAAAAGAAAACTTGTAGATAACAACAAAAAAAGTGGCAAAGTGAAGAAGTTGTATTTCTGTATGACAGAAATTATAATTAACTATATGCTTCCCTGGTGGCTTAAAGGGTAAAGCGTCTACCTGCAATGCAGGAGACCCGGGTTCAATCCCTGAGTCAGGAAGATCCCCTGGAGAAGGAAATGGCAACCCACTCCAGTACTCTTGCCTGGAAAATCCCGTAGCCTGGGATGCTGCAGTCCATGGGGTCGCAAAGAGTCGGACACGACTGAGCGACTTCACTTTCACTATATAGTCCACATAATTTTTTGCGAATGTCTTAGTATACTTCAATTTTGAAACACTCTCACCTTCTTATTTTGAGCATTTAAAAATTTTTGAGAGCCTTTTTCCTCACTGTTGCAAGCAGAGTAAAAGATAATTTAGGATGAAAAGAGCATTTTCTCTTTGAGACTATCAGCATAGCACAGAGTAAGTAGTGTCTTGATCTTTAATTAGATGAGAATATTTTTGCTGCCAGTCTCAGTTTAAAAAAATCACAAAGTCCATTAATGAAAACAGTTTGTTGAGGGTGTAGCTCTGTAAAACATGTATTAGGAGTGTTAGAACAAAAAAAACTTTGAGCTTCTGAAGAGTTTTTGTTATTTAAAGTAATGCAGGTGTTTCAATTTTCAAATTATAAAAAAACTGTCTATTAATGCTTGGCAGATCTTACCATAGTGCTTTGGCATTTAGGCTTCGGAGTTTTTCCTTCATGTGAAATATGACTTGCAGACCTTTAGTGTGGTCATCATTCCTGTCCTGTGTTGGAAGGAACCCAGAATTCCAATCCTTGTAAAATCTCTCATCATATTTTCATGTTTTGCATACTGTATAGTAAACAGACAAAAGAAAAGCAGGTTTGTATCAATGAGCAATATTTTAATAGTAAAACTGCAAAAAATAGAAAATGTAGTTATGTCATTTATGAATTGTTTCCATTCTTATTTTTTCCTTAAAAATAAAACAGAGTTATTTTGGAATTCAGCTTCCTTCAATACCGAGGCATCCTACCTCCATTTTCCTACTTTCCATGGAGAGCTGAGTGCAGATGTGTCTTTCTTCTTCAAGACAACAGCTTCATCTGGGGTGTTTTTAGAGAACCTGGGGATTACTGACTTCATACGGATAGAGCTACGCTGTAAGTTGTCTTTTCCTTAGACGTCTGTGGAATTCTGTTTAGGAGTAATGAGTGTGTACAGTCGTGTCCAACTCTGTCACCTCGTGGACTGTAGCCCCCCAGGTTCCTCTGTCATGGGATTTTCCAGGCAAGAGTACTGGAATGGGTAGCCATTTCCTATTCCAGGGGTTTGGGAGTAAATTCTGTAACTAATTTTTAAAATACTGTATTTCTACATTATCAACTGAATTTTTCATTGTGTCCTTTGGGAAAAAAATATATTAAGATAGCATTTTTTGCAAGAAAATTATTTAATGTTTAACATGTGATAATTTGGGGAAATTATTAGTATTCTCTAGAACCAACTTTAAAAGTCTTTTAAATTCAGAAAAATTAAACATTTTTAAAAAATCCAAATACTCAGTTTAAAAATTAATTAGACCAACCAGCCATATTGTTTTGATATCCTCTTCAGTTCAGTTCAGTTCAGTCGCTCAGTCATGTCCGACTCTTTGTGACCCCATGAATCGCAGCACGCCAGGCCTCCCTGTCCATCACCAACTCCTGGAGTTTACTCAAACTTAGGTCCATTGAGTTGGTGATGCCACCCAACCATCTCATCCTCTGTTGTCCCCTTCTCCTCCTGCCCCCAATCCCTCCCAGCATCAGGGTCTATTCCAGTGAGTCAACTCTACGAATCAGGTGGCCAAAGTATTGGAGTTTCATCTTCAGCATCAGTCCTTCCAATGAACACCTAGGACTGATCTCCTTTAGGATGGACTGGTTGGATCTCCTTGCAGTCCAAGGGACTCTCAAGAGTCTTCTCCAACACCACAGTTCAAAAGCATCAATTCTTCAGCACTCAGCTTTCTTTATAGTCCAACTCTCACATCCATACATGACCACTGGAAAAATCATAGCCTTGAATAGATGGACCTTTGTTGACAAAGTAATGTTTCTGCTTTTTAATATGCTATCTAGGTTGGTCATAACTTTCCTTCCAAAGAGCAAGTGTCTTTTAATTTCATGGCTGCAATCACCATCTGCAGTGATTCTGGAACCCCCAAAATAAAGTCTATCACAGTTTCCACTGTTTCCCCATCTATTTCCCATGAGGTGATGGGACTAGATGCCATGATCTTAGTTTTCTGAATGCTGAGCTTTAAGTCAACTTTTTCACTCTCCTCCTTCACTTTCATCAACAGGCTTTTTAGTTCCTCTTCACTTTCTGCCATAAGGGTGGTGTCATCTGCATATCTCAGGTTATTGATATTTCTCCCAGAAATCTTGATTCCAGCTTGTGCTTCTTCCAGCCCAGCATTTCTCATGATGTACTCTGCATATAAGTTAAATAAGCAGGGTGACAATATACAGCCTTGACATACTCCTTTCCCTATTTGGAATCAGTCTGTTGTTCCATGTCCAGTTCTAACTGTTGCTTCCTGACCTGCATACAGGTTTCTCAAGAGGCAGGTCAGGTGGTCTGGTATGCTCACCTCTTTCAGAATTTTCCACAGTTTATTGTGATCCACACAGTCAAAGGCTTTGGCATACTCAATAAAGTAGAAATAGATATTTTTCTGAAACTCTTGCTTTTTCGATGATCCAGTGGATGTTGGCAATTTGATCTCTGGTTCCTCTGCCTTTTCTAAAACCAGCTTGAACATCTGGAAGTTCATGGTTCACCTATTGCTGAAGCCTGGCTTGGAGAATTTTGAGCATTACTTTACTAGCATGTGAGATGAGTTTAATTGTGTGATCGTTTGAACATTCTTTGGGATTGCCTTTCTTAGGGATTGGAATGAAAACTGACCTTTTCCAGTCCTGTGGCCACTGCTGAGTTTTCCAAATTTGTTGGCATATTGAGTGCAGCATTTTCACAGCATCATCTTTCAGGATTTGAAATAGCTCAACTGGAATCCCATCACCTCCACTAGCTTTGTTCGTAGTGATGCTTTCTAAGGCCCACTTGACTTCACATTTCAGGATGTCTGGGTCTAGGTGAGTGATCACACCATTGTAATTATATGGGTTGTGAAGATCTTTTTGTACAGTTCTTCTGTGTATTCTTGCCACCTCTTCTTAATACCTTCTGCTTCTGTTAGGTCCATACCATTTCTGTCCTTTATCGAACCCATCTTTGCATGAAATGTTCCCTTGGTATCTCTAATTTTCTTGAAGAGATCTCTAGTCTTTCCCATTCTGTTGTTTTCCTCTATTTCTTTGCATTGATCGCTGAGGAAGGCTTTCTTATCTCTCCTTGCTATCCTTTGGAACTCTGCATTCAAATGGGAATATCTTTCCTATCCTCCTTTGCTTTTCACGTCTCTTCTTTTCACAGCTATTTGTAAGGCCTCCTCAGACAGCCATTTTGCTTTTTTGCATTTCTTTTCCATGGGGATGGTCTTGATCCCTGTCTCCTGTACAATGTCACAAACCTGTCCTCTTAGACTGCTATTGATATTTTGATATCAAAAGTATATTGCATGCTTTTGAAATGAAATAAATCCTGAAGCTTTGATGCAGAGACATGGGTTTGAGCCCTAGGTTGGTAAGATCCCCTAAAGGAATAAATGCCAAATCACTCCAGTATTCTTGCCTGGAAAGTCCCATGGACTAAGGAACCAGGTGGGCTCTAGTCCATGGGGTTGCAAAAGAGTCAGACACGAATGAGAGACTAAACAAACAAATAGCTTTAGTTTTTGTCAATATGAACAGTTAACTCCAGTGATGAGTTTGTTAGAATCCATTTTCCCCCCAAAACTCAAATGCATTTTACTGTCTCATTCCATGTCTATTCTGCACCAACATCCCTGGTTTCTTCCATCGAATGCAAATGCAAACCATTACCTTCATGTTTAGTGACTGTTGATGCAATGGGGCTCTTCCTCAGGGTATTGCAGACTGAGCACCCCCACCACAGGGACTAACGCCAACAATTTTCATGTCTGATGCTTCCAGCTCCTGCAGTTGTGACGTTTTCGTTTGATGTGGGAAATGGGCCTTTGGAAATCTCAGTGCAGTCACCCACTCACTTCAACGACAACAAGTGGCACTACGTCAGGGTTGAGAGGAACATGAAGGAGGCCTCAGTTCAAGTGGATCAGCTCTCACCAAGGATGCAGCCGGCCCCGGCAGATGGGCATGTCCTCCTGCAGCTCAACAGTCAGCTCTTCGTGGGTAAGCCCTGCTGTGGACAGTTTGTCTTTAATTGTATAATGTCAGTGCAGAGATAGGCCAAGAGAAACTAACGCCAACTGTAGATAATGATGCAGTCCCTGGGGTCGCAAGGAGTCAGACATGACTGGGGGACTGAACTGAACTGATAAGATAATGATAACACCACCCCCAAACCAGCATTTATTGAGAACTTACATTCCAGGCTGCACTGGGTGTTTTGACTACTTCCTCATAACCAACCTGTGCAATGGATGTCATCCCAGTTTTACCGACAAGGTAACTGAGGTGCAGGAGGCTGAAATCTCTTGCCTTCAGAAACCCACCTAGTAATGAAATTCACATTTGTGTTTGACTAATTCATAAACCCGCATTCTTTTCATTTCCAGTTTTGCTGAGATGTAATTGACATAGGGAACCATATAAATTTAACATAAATATTCTTAATTTTCCAGACTATGTGACTTGTTCCAATTTTTTTTTTTAATGTTAGTGTCTTTAGTATGATATTGGACTTGTTTACCTTTGTTCCCCAGGAAGTCGAATAACCCTGCTTATAAATCCAACTGACGCCAGCCAGTGATCCCTGCCAAAAACAAGCCAATGGCAGGAAAAAGAAAAAAAAAAAAAAACCAGCATGAGCGAAGTGTTCTAGCATTCATGGTTTGACCAGTTATACCAGTTCTACTGGTGTCCATTATTTTCCCATTTTTCTGATGTCTTCTGATCACCTACTTTAGATTTATATCCAAACGTCATTCCTTTATTTTCTAGTTACATTCATTTGGTAGGTATAGACTTGATAGGAGAATCCTTCTGAGTGTGTTTGTTTTACATCTTTGCTAATTACAGGACTTATTGACCATGAAGTTCAAGGAATTATCTCTTACTTGATCACTTTTCACGTATTTTAGTGTAAATGAGGACACAGCAGCACTGTCACTCAGGATAAATTGTAAATTATCAAAAACTGTTTCAAGCCTTTGTAAGAGTTATGTTTTAGAGCAGAATTCTCATCAGATCCCCATTACATCTTCTCTTGTTTAATGGCCTTGTTTTAAGCTCTCTCACTGGGAGGGATGAAGCTGATTGAAGGGTATGGAAATAATAAAGAAAACATGAAAGGAAATTCATAACTTTTCTTTTAATAACATGCTAGGAGCTCAGTCAGGAAATTGACACAGATATTTCTTGAGTTACAAACAATAAGAGATGGTCACAGCAAAAGGTATGGCAATTTAAAATCTGTCAGGATCTAGGAAATAGCCTTCCTGTTCTTAGAAATTGAGAAAGCTGAAACAGTCCTCGAATTTTTCAGTGAAATCTGCTGCAGTTTGCCTGGGCATGACCTTTCATTCTTTGTATGAATTTTAACTTCCTAGAAATGGAGTCACTGTGTATTGTGTCTGATAGGAACCTTGGCCTTAATTTGTTTTTAGGGTAGTTGTAATGGATAGAAATACTATTATGATACAGAATGATATATTAGGACAGACTTGAGTCTTTTGACCTCAGTCATGTGTTATAATTTTAATAAGGATCTAAGAGATTTTATCTTTATGGGGAATATTGGTTAGGATTTTTACATTCCCATATGTTAAATTCAAGCATGATTGTGTTATTAGAAAGTTTTAGAAATTGAAATCTTTATTATATTTTCAAAATCATTGAAAATTAAAAGGAAAAGCAGAAAGAAAGATCTTTGGAAAAAAGTTACGTCTATTGAGAAAAATCTCTTTTTATAGTCCCCTCCTTCCTACTCACAGCTAACTGAGTAAATAGAAGTGGTTAATGTGATTATATTAAAAAATGGACTCATGTTGAAAGAAAGTCTTGCAGCGTTGGGTGGAGACACATCATTGATTGTCAAGAGGCCATATAGAGGTCTATTTTTATCTTTACCTCTACTGTAAGACTGAACTACTCTTAGGAAAGGACCCCAACCAAGTTAATAGAATAATACATACAAGATAACATCATAATTTGTCAGTTTTCAACATTACTATTAAATCAGCACTTTTTAATTTCTAGATGAAAATACCTTTCCCCTTTGGGAAGATTCAATGGAATTTAAATTATAATTAAAAGGTTATACTGAATTAGCATAAAGTGGGTGAAACTAGTACAAAAAAAACTAGTAATAATCACAGCTAGTTTGATGTAGTGCTTATTAAGACACAAGGTAGTTCTCTGCCTTCCTGAGAGTATATTTCTGGGGAAAAGGTAAGAGGCAGCCAAAAAAAGAATAAAAACAAAATAAAGGCAAAGAGACAAAACAAAAAAACACATAGATAAATATCAGTTCAGTTCAGTTCAGTTGCTCAGTCATGTCCGACTCTTTGTGACCCCATGAATCGCAGCACGCCAGGCCTCCCTGTCCATCACCAACTCCTGGAGCTTACTCAAACTCAGGTCCATTGAGTTGGTTAGGCCATCCAACCATCTCATCCTCTGTCGTCCCTTTCTCCGCCTGCCTCCAATCTTTCCCAGCATCAGGGTTTTTCCAGTGAGTCAGTACTTCACATCAGGTGGCCAAAATATTAGAGTTTCAGCTTCAGCATCAGTCCTTCCAGTGAATATTCAGGACTGATTTCCTTTAGTATGGACTGGTTGGATCTCCTTGCAGTCCAAGGGACTCTCAAGAGTCTTCTTCAACACCACAGTTCAAAATCATCACTTCTTTGGCACTCAGCTTTCTTTATAGTCCAACTCTCACATCCATACAAGACTACTGGAAAAACCATTGCTTTGACTAGACGGACCTTTGTTGGCAAAGTAATGTCTCTGCTTTTTAATATGCTGTCTAGGTTGGTCATAGCTTTCCTTCCAAGGAGTGTCTTTTAATTTCATGGCTGCAGTCACCATCTGCAGTGATTTTGGAGCCCAAGAAATAAGTCTGTCACAGTTTCCACTGATTCCCCATATGTTTGCCATGAAGTAACGTGACCAGATGCCATGATCTTAGTTTTCTGCATGTTGAGCTTTAAGCCAACTTTTTCACTCTCCTCTTTCACTTTCATCAGGAGGCTTTTTAGTTCCTCTTCGCTTTCTGTCATAAGGGTGGTGTCATCTGCATATCTGAGGTTATTGCTATTTCTCCCAGCAATCTTGATTCCAGCTTGCACTTCCTCCAGCCCAGCATTTCTCATGATGTACTCTGCATATAAGTTAAATAAGCAGGGTGACAATATACAGCCTTGATGTACTCCTTCCCCTGTTGGAACCAGTCTGTTGTTACATGTCCAGTTATAACTGTTGCTTCCTGACTTGCATATAGATTTCTCAGGAGGCAGGTCAGATGGTCTGGTATTCCCATCTTTTTAAGAATATTCCACAGTTTGTTGTGATCCACACAGTCAAAGGCTTTGGCATAGTCAACAAAGCAGATGTTTTTCTGGAACTCTTTTGCTTCTTTGATAATCCAGCAGATATTGGGAATTTGATCTCTGGTTCCCCTGCCTTTCTTTATCCAGCTTGAACATCTGAAAGTTCACAGCTCACGTACTGTTGAAGACTGGCTTGGAGAATTTTGAGCACTACTTTGCTAGTGTGTGAGATGACTGCAATTGTGTGGTAGTTTGAGTCTTCTTTGGCATTGCCTTTCTTAGGGATTGGAATGAAAACTGACCTTTTCCAGTCCTGTGGCCACTGCTGAGTTTTCCACATTTGCTGGCGTATTGAGTGCAACACTTTCACAGCATCATCTTTTAGGATTTGAAATAACTCAACTGGAATTCTATCACCTCCACTAGCTTTGTTTGTAGTGATGCTTCCTAAGGCCCACTTGACCTTGCATTTCATATATATATATAACAATGTATATATATACACACACAAGCATGGATATACACATATATGTAAAATTTCAGATAACGATAAATACATAAAGTAAAAGTAGGATAAGACATCAGACAGTTTGGTTTGCAGACTTCTATTTCAAGTGGGGTATTCACTGGAGTCCTTCCTGAGGACCTTACATTGGAACAGAGACCAGTGGAAGCAGGAGCGGGATCCCTGTGAACATCCAAAGGAAGAGAATTCTGGGCAGTGGGGATGAGCTTCAGGAATTCAGGAGTAAGTCATGATGTCTGAGGATGGAATTTGTGTGGGAGGAGAGGATGGTGTGAAGTGAGGTCGAGTTGTATATTATAAGGCCATGGTCAGGACTTTGGATTTTATTCTAAAGGCTCAGATGAGTGGAATGGTCTAATTTCTGTTTTCCACCTTCTCTCTTACTAGGGAAAAGGTAGAAGCAGGCCACGGCTTTAGTCCCCGAGAGAGATCGTGGCGGCATGGGCCAGAGGGGAGATGGTGATAAAGAGAGTTGGGGCATGTCTTAAACGGAGGTGTACACCGCTTACTAACGGGTTGGTTATCTCTGCTCGTGTTTACCATTGACTCCTGCTAATATCCTTCAGCAAGTTCTCTGCATTACTCACATCATGTCTCAGTTTTTAATATTACCTGGAGTTAGCTTTTCTTGTTTTCTTCCTTTATCCTAACTTGTAGCAGGATTAAAGCTGTTCCCTGGCCCCACTATGCAGTCCAAACCACAGTCTCACCAGCCTGGAAGAGACCCCTGGGTATTCTTCATAGTCTGGGGAAAATAACCCGCCTCCCCAGTGAGGTTCCACCCACCCATCACTGTCACCAGGAAGTTGGGCTGCTTTGTTCAAGTGTTCTTTGCCAGCACATGGCAGATGTAGAGGGATCTTCTCTTAGAAACTGTTTCCCCACTTAGTAATGCCTTCACATTGTTGAGTTAAGTGAACTCCCAGAGCCTGGACTCTGTGGGTGACTGGGAATCTCTGCTTTAATCCAATATAATTGATTTTCTGGCTAAAATCTTAAAGGGCAATTTCACTTCCCTTACTTACAGGTTCAAGAGTTTAATTTGTAGTTCACCCATCCATATTAAAAATAATTATGACTAATCAGTATTTTCAAGGGTGCATAATGACTATCATTTGTATTTGGGGATCAGGACAAATAAATGAGATAAG